TGAGATTAAGGAGTTTTCATCATGTCTTCTGACTGCTAGTTGGTGTTCATGGATGCGTCCTGCTAGTCTCCTGCCTGTCTGTCCTACATAGTGGCTGTTATATTCCTTATACTGTATGTTGTAGATGACTCCTGTTTTGTCTTCTTGGGCTACTGGGTCTTTTGGTTTACTTAAGATGTTTCAGAGGGCTTTGGTTGGTTTGTGTGCTACGGTGATGCCGTGTGGTTGTAATAGTCTGTTGGTTGTTTCTGAGATATTTCTGATGTATGGCAGTGTTATCTTTTTCATAACTTGTGTTGGTTGTTCTGTAGTGGGTTGAGTGGTCAGGCATTTTTTGATAAAGCTGCGTGGGTATCCATTTTGTTGGAAGATGTTGTATAGGCGGTCTGTTTCCTTTTTCTGGTGTTCTGGGTTGCTGCAGCGCGTTTGTGCTCATCTGAATATTCTTACACAGCTCCTCTTATGGGATGTTGGGTTGTTACTTTGGTAATGGAGCACTTGGTTGGTGTGTGTTGTTTTTTTTGATAAACTTGTGTTTCTAACTGCCATCATTTCCTCTGCTGATGAAAATATCCAGGAAGGGTCGCATGTTGTTGTTTTCTTCCTTCCTTGTGAATTTTATTCCTTTGAAGATGTTGTTGATAGTTTCATGTGACTTCTGTAGTTCTTCCTTTTTTTATTATGACGAAGGTGTTATCTACCCACTGGATCCATACTTTTGGTTGTATGTGTTGGGAGTGCTATAGTTTCTAGATACTGCATTACAGTCTCTGCTATGAGTCCTTAGAGTGGTGATCCCATGGGTGTTCCTCTGATTTTGTCAGGTTCAGCCCAAAAAACTCCAAGAGACAATGCAAATACAGTTCTGTTGTGTTTATTAACTTCCACCTCAAGACAGATCCTCACCAGACTGAACCCAAGTTCCCAAGCCAGCCAGCCACAACACTGTGAATTCCTTACGGAGGTGCCAGCCTCATCTTCTTGAACTTCCCATGCTCCTGTTAGGGGCTAACAACACACTTATCTCCCTGAGCATGGCCTTCATAAGTCCATTCCATCACAGATTTGTTGGTATATTTGTCCATCAAACAGAAACCCACTACAGCACAACCAACGCAAGCTATGAAAAGGATCACACTGCCATACATCAGAAACATCTCAAAAACTACCAACAGACTATTACAACCACATGGCATCACTATAGCACACAAACCAACTAAAGCCCTCCAAAAACATCTTAAGTAAACCAAAAGACCCAGTAGCCCAAGAAGACAAAACAGGCTTCATCTACAAGAGCTACTATGTAGGACAGACAGGCAGAAGACTAGCAGAACGTATCCATGAACACCAACTAGCAGTCAGAAGACACGATGAAAACTTAATCTCACAACACATGGACAGACTCAACCATAGTTTCAGCTGGGAAACTGAGCAT